GGATTCATGCTCTTTGCTTCCCTTTCTCACTCCCTCTGATTGAAGGGACAAATGTTTAAAAGACAAATGCTGTTCCTGTCACTCTGCTAGCACACAGGAAATCTCTCAGAGGCACTTTGGGGAAAAGCACCAATTGTAGCCAGGTCCTCCAAAGCATCCTCAGGAGGTAGCGCCTTCATCCTTTGGGTTTACATGGTGGTAAATTGCTGTTATACCCAGACAGAGTAAATCAATCAAAATTTAATTTGCCACATAAAAGAAAAGGTTTACAAGCAAGAAAAACTCTGCCCATGAACAGAGTGATCTGATTCATTAGGGCTTATGCCGAGCTGGAGACCTGGGTCTGGGGAAGGAGTTATCTGCCAGATGAGCTAGGGCTCAAGGCAGATGCAGGTCCCCTGCTCCCTGCCTCTGGGAAAGTGGTGGTTCAGCTCTGAGAGGCTGCAGGCCAGGCTATACCTGACGAAGGATGGGATGAGGTGGGAAGGGCTGAGCCTCTCACATTCATTTCACAGAGTGTCTGGGCTCTCCACTTTGTAGCTCGTAGCTCCATGGGAAGGGTGGCACTTGGGTATCCCACCACCGATGTGGAGCAGATGTGAGTCTGGGGTCCAGTGAGACCTGGGGCCGCACCTCATTTGTGGACAGCTGTGGCCCCATCCCTAATGAGGGCAGAAGACATATGACTGGCACAGAGTGTGGTGTGCAGAGTCAGGGTGGGTAAGCCTCCTGAGAGCTCTCTGGTGGCCAAGGGACAAGTGGCTTGACCTCAATTTTGACTCTCTATTGTGAATCAGTGGCCCTCTGGCTAACTGATGCCCACTGAAGACACAATGGTTGACATGTCTCTGGCTGCCCAGGGCCATCTTAGGCTCCTGCTCTGTAGAGACATGTCTGAAAACTAGTGAGACTGGCTTCAGCATTCTCCCACCAAGACCATTCTGGCAAGTTCCATCCTGGCCCCTTTACAAACTTCTCCTTCACATCTTGCTCCCCTCCCCTCTGTGTTTGTTTACATGCTTCTGCCTCCATGCTTTTACTTCTGCTGTTCTCTCAGTTTGGGATGTGCACTTTCTTTCTTTAGTCAGCTCATGGCCTCATCCCAGCCTGTGTGGAGCCCACTGCAGGGACCTACTGAACACATGGCAGTGGCAGGAAGATCTCTGGGCAGTTGTGGGAAGGAC